GGGGGTCATCCCACTTCCTAGACCAGGAGGGGGCTCTGACTCAGGGCATATGTCCCACAGGTAGTCTCTATGTGGAGGACTGGGGAGGGGACAGGAAGTACAGGGCAGGGAGCAGAAAGCAGAGCAGATGTAGCAGGGGCACAGGACAGGGAGCAGAGCAGTTGATGAGGCAGGGAGCACAAAGCACAGCAGCTGACAGGGAAAGGGGCACACAGCAGGGAGCAGAATGGAGAGCAGAAGATTGGGCAGGGGAAAGGGGTCCTCACGGGGGCTGCAGGGCTGATACAGGCCTGCCTGCCCACCCAAAAGCTGGCCCCACAGTGCCAGGCCTGGCCAGGAAACTCTGTTGTCACACACTGCTGGGACAGGGCACAGGGTCTTAGGCCAGCATCTGTGCCCATGTGCTATGCTCAAGCAGGAGGGGAAAAAGGTTTCTCTCCATTGCAGCTGTTCCTCTGGCAAGCCTGGTCAAGAGCAGGGAGAAGAGAAGCTGGAGGGAGCCCTGCCAGCAACTGGTATGAGGAGAGGGGTGCCCTCCATTTCCCACCATTCAGGGGGGTCCCAAACCCACTGGGCACTCTCATGCCCCCCCCCCCCCCCCCCCCCCCCATGGTCCCTCTCTGCTTGCCCAGAATCCCTCTCATCCCCTTCTTCGCACTCCTCTGAAGTGTCTTCACTACTAGCTGCTTGACTCAGCCCTGCTTGTGCGCTTTCAGCAGGCAAGATGGGATAGAGACAAGCACAGAGCAAGGGGGCTGGGGTACTACCAAGGACACCACTGGCAGCTGCACGTCTTCCCAGCTGTGCCTCGGAGCTACCCTGCCTCCCACATCCCTTCTTAATAGAAGCATTAGGGGGGTGATTGTGCCGTTCTACTCAGCACTGCCTAGGCCTCATCTGCAGCACTGTGTCCACTTCTGGGCTCCACACTTTAAAAAGGATGTGGAAAGGTCAGAGAGGGTTCAGAGGTGGTGACAAAGAAGATCAAGGGCTTGGAAGGCAAGTCTTATGGAGAGGCTGAAGGAGCTGGGCATGTTCAGTTTGCAGAAAAAGTACTTAAGAGGCATGATAGTAGGCTTCAAATACTTGAAGGACTACCATAAAAGGTGCTTTCCCTCTTCTTTCTCTCTCACTTCAGAGAGAAGAATGTGGACCAATGACTTGAAGATGCAGCAGAGGAGGTTTAGATTGGAGATCTGGAAACCATTCTTCCCTGTTAGAGCAGGGAGACAGTGGAATAGGGAAATTGTGGACTCTCCATCACTGGAGGTGCTCAAGTAGAGGTTGGATGGGCACTAGTCGGGGATGATCTAGGCATAGCAATGCCCGTGTGCTGCTATGGGGATTTCCCAGGATTCTCTGGGTTTTGCTAGTTGACTCGACTCCCTTCCTGCTCCACACGTCACATTTTACACCTCCCTCAGAGACATTGGGTGTTTCCTGCAACCAAGGCTGGGGACTTTGCATGGGCTGTGTCAGTGTTCCTTTTGGTACTTACCCCTCCTCTCGGGGTCAGACCAATGCCATATTTAGGGTCGGGAAGGAATTTTTCCCCATGGACAGACTGATATGGACTAGAGGGGTTTTGCCTTCCTCTGTAGCAGGGAAATGGCCTCTGCCTGGAATCTCTTGAGCATCTACTGACAACTTTTTATAGCAGCAGGACGTAGGTTGCCATTGTCCCCCTGCTTTCTCTGTAGCAGGTTCAGGTGTGTTGTCTTGTGTTGTCAGGGTTGACAGCAGTTTTGATGTTGACAGCAATGTCCCTGACACTGTTAACTTCTGTTAACAGGCTAATGTGCCCAGGCCTTAAATCCAACAGATTCAACCTTATGCTTCTAGAAATACCGTTGCTGTGAGCTGACTGCAGAGGGGGAAAGAAAGGCCTGGGACATGCAAAAACATGACAGCGCTGTGCTGGGTGCAGGGTACCCCTGAGGCTAGCTCTGCATCCCCTTTCCTACAGCTACCCTGCTCCCCACCATGCCTGCTGGGGAGGGGCACCTGGCCTGGGGACTTACCGGTGAGGATGTGAGCGAAGGCATAACGCCGTGTGATCTTCAGAGCTGGGTGCTTGGGTCCAAAGACGTCCAGCAGGAAGGCTGAGAGGCTGCAGATGATGCCCAGGAAACAGAAGGCAGCAATGACGCGGAGAAGCAGCACAGTCTGAGCGTTCATGCAATAGTCTGGGTGCAGGAGAGAGGCATGGAGTCAAGCCACCACGGTGGCAGGTTGCAACTGTTCCAACCCCTTCAGCAAGCAGCTGTTCAACCATCCCCGTGTTACTCTGACATGAGCCTTGATGCATCAGCTCTGCATCCAGCTGCTGCATCTTCCCTGGAGAACCAAATGTCCAAATTTACCTCCAGCCCAAACCAAGACAAGACTGACCTCCTCCAATCCCCACAGCCATGTCCTTGCCTGAGCTGTTCCTAACACTACACCTCGACCCTGTAGTCCAGAGACACCAAAAGTCCCTGGCCCTGGTCCAGGTGACGCTGAGGGATGAGGGCAGGCAGAGCCCTGCCACTGCCAGGGGGTTTGATGCTTGTCCTCTGCCTGAGGTGTCTCATGTCACAGCTGTGGAGGAAGGCAAACCCCCCCAGACTGAGCAGGGAATTCCTTCATGCACCCAATGCACCACTGGGCTGAGCCCGAATAAAGGGGCAAGACTCCCTAGCTGGCCCGATGCTCCGGACAGTTTTCTATCCACCTTACAGTCCATTCATCCAGCTCATACTTCCTTAGATTGCCTGAGAAAATGTTGTGGGAGACTATAGCAAAAGCCTTGCTAAAATCAAGGTGCACCACATCCACCGGTATCCCCACATCCAGAGCCAGTCCTCTCATCATAGAAGGCAATCAGGTTCATCAGGTATGACTTGCCCCTGGTGAATCCATGCTGACTGCTTCTAATCACCCTTTGCTTCTCTCACTGGTTAGAAATGGGTTCCTTGAGGATCTACTCCATGATTTTTTCCAGGGACTGAGGTGAGGTTAACTAGTCTGTAGGTCCCTGTCCGGAACCACTGTCATTTCTCTGTAGGGACACTGCGCAGCAAACAGGGGTGAGGGGTGATCAGGACTCCCCAACTCTGAGATCTAGGTAATCTCAGAGGCTGCATGAAAATGAGGTGGATTCTGGCTCCAGAGGAGCCAAGCATAGGGGATCCAGCTGTTCACAGCCCCACAGGAAGCCATGAATCAGCTGCCAATGGGATTCTTTTCAATCAGCTGCTATCAAAGGCATGACCCCCCCAGCAGCATTCTTGGGAACCTGGGGATGCAGCGTCCTGACAAGGTGCTGGGTCAGGCAGCAGTGGAAACTCTGTGCCAGGTTGTAGGGAGGCCACTTCTCATGAGCAAAAGTCTGGCCCAGTTCCATAAATAAACCCAAAGCATTTTGAAGCCTTTGCTGGCCTGACTCGGGGACACAGGCCACGGTTCTTGCCTCTCCAACCAGTGCCAGTTTCCTGCCTGCAGGGTGAAATTCCACCCCCCAGCTATGTCCATCAGGGTGGTCATAGAAGCCAGTGCCTTCAGAGGCACTGGCTGTTGGTTGCAGCATAGGTTGGGGGTGGTGACTCAGCTGTGCCAATGATTCTGCTGGGACTTAAAACTGAAGGGTCCTAGCTAGAAGGTCTTGCCCCTCAACTCAGGCTAAGACCAATGATGCATTGGGGGTCAGGAAGGAATTTTACCCCCTGCGCAGATTGGTAAAGACAGTGCGGGTTTTGTTTTCCTCTGTAGCCAGAGGTATAGACTCCACCTGGGATATCTCAAACAGAGTTTAACAGCCTTAATAGCAGCAAGATGTTGGCCGCTGTGATCCTCCTGCTTTCTCAGTGGCACGGTCAGGTGTGACGTCTTGTGTTGCATCTAGACTGACTGCGTAGTTTTGCTAAAATGTTGGACAACCAATATGTCTTGAATGGTTTGGACAGGGCTGATACTGCCTCAGGCAGGGGATTGGACAAGATGTGACATCCACTGGTCTCTTCCAGCCCTGCTTCTCTAGGCTGCATAGAATAAGAAGATTAGGGGTGGAAGAGATCTCATGTAGTCCAACACCCTGCTCAAAGCAGGACCAGAACCAACTACATCATCCCAGCCAAGACTTTCTTTTACTGGAGTCTTAAAGAGTTCTATGGATAGATTCCACAACCTCTCTGGGTAGCCTGTTCCAGTGCTTTGCTACCCTCCTGGTGAGAAAGTTTGTCCTAATATCTAACATAAACTTCCCTTGCTGCAACTTGAGGCTATTGTTCCTTGTTCTGTCATCTGCCACCACTGACAACAGTCCAGGTCCATCTTCTTTGGAACCCCCTCTAGGTAGCTGAAAGCTGTTATTAAATCCCCTCTCAGTCTTCTCTTCTCCAGACACAATAAACCCAGTTCCCTCAGCCTCTCCTCTCAGTCATGTGTCCCAGCCCCCTAACCACTGCTGCCCTGCACTGGACTCTCTCCAATGTATCCACATCCTTTCTGCCATGGGGGACCTAAAACTGGACACACTACTCCAGATGTGGCTTCACTAGTCAAATAGAGGTGAGCAATCGCTTCCTTTGATCTACTGGCAACAGCCCTACTAATGCAGCCCAGTATGCCATTAGCCTTCTGGGCAGCACTGCTTGCTCCTGTTCAGCTTATTGTCCACTGTAACCCCCAGGGCCTTTTCTGCAGAGCTGCTGATTAGCCAGCGAGTCCCCCCCTGCCTGTACCGGTGCATGGGATTGTTCTGTCCTGAGTGCAAGACTTTGCACTTGTCCTTGTTGAACTTCCTGACTTTTCTTTTGAGCCAATCCTCCAATTTCTAGATCTCTCTGAAATCTAGCCCTACCCTCCAGTGCATCTACTGCTCTACCCAGCTTGGTGTCATCCACAAACATGCTAAGGATGCACTCTATGCCATCTTCCAGCTCTTTGATGAATCCAGATTGTTGATTCTACAATTACAGCTCTGCCTTGGAAAGTGCCAGCTCTTGGTTTTTCTATGGAAAAGTCCCAGAGCAATTCTTTCATGGATTAGAAAACTCAGCAGGTGAGGGTAGTTGGACACTCTGGGAACCTTCTGATGTCTCTTGTGACTTGTGCATGGGTGTCTGCACACCAAACAGTGCTAATTTTCTGTGGCACCCTTCAAAGGGTCTCAGGGCACCCCTCTTCTCTTTTATTCTGCCCTGTCAAATACAGCACATCTTCCTTTGGGGGCATGTGGTACACAAGGGAATATAGTACTAGTGGAGCTCGTGGCACTCGTTGGGTCTCCTCTTCGGGTGCTGAAGTTAGAGCCTGCTCAGTGGAACTGACCACAACATGCCTCCTACAGGCATCTCATTTGCCTTCGTCTGTGGGCCGTTGGTGCCTCAAACTCTGGTTTGAGCCTGTGTGGTTCTGCTGTGCTTGACCTGGGGCTACTGCCCATTGATACACAAACGTTGTTGCCATGGTGATGGTAACACGCAGGCAAAAACAAGACACAGGCAACTGCCAGCTACAAGCTGGACTAAACCAGGGGAGAGCAAGCTGCAGCACACATGCCACAATTGACACAGGAAGGCCCTGTGCATGGCACACAGCAGATCAGGGAGGGGGCAGGGAGGAGAAAGCAGAGCAGCAGAAGATGCAAGGAATTAGAGGAGCCCTTGAGGAGGGGGAAGGGCTACACTTTACTGTCCCCTAATGAACTTGAGGGAAATAATTTCCCCTTGCTCTCCAGCAGGTCATCCCCACCACTACCAACAACAGTCCAGAGGAGGTTCCCGTGCAGTGGGAAGTAAGTGGGAGAGGCTGACAGGCATCCAGTGACTCAGCTAACGAGGGTGCAATTAGAGTCCGGAAGTCCCCGGTTTCATGCTGATGACTCACACCAGGCAGGTCTTTCCCTGGAGCCGAAAGATCCATCATGGGCATGCTGCCATCATAAAGCAGGGGCTGCACTAAGCACCCACCTTCACCCAGAGCCACATTTTGGGTTCATCTATGTGGACGCTCACCCCACTGCCTCAGGCTAGGGAGGAGAGGCAAAGAAGTGTCCTGCCATTAGCTCCTGGCTCTGCTGGCCTGGCAGTGTTGCTCCGTCAACACAAAATGGATCCCAGAAGGGGACCTGCCATCTCCAACACTCCTGTGTGCCTGGAAACAGCCGGGAAAGTAGCTGCTCAACCTTAAAGGGTTGGTGCCTTAGGGACAGCGGCATTACACCCCTGGCTGCTGTGAGGATGAAGAAGAGAAGGACCTGGCACATCTCAAGGCTGGAGCAAGGGACCAGGATGATAGAAGAGGACAGAGAAAAAGGAGGAAGCCTGGAAGGTCAAGGAAGAG